TACACGAAGATTTCTTTTTTTTTTTCCTACACAGGGTATCTCTGTGTAACCCTGGCTATCCTGGAATTAGCTCTGTAGACCAGGCTGGCCTCAAACTCAGAGATTTGCCTGCCTCTGCCTCCTGAGTGCTGGGATTAAAGGTATGTGCCACTACTACCCAGCAACATGCAGATTTTTTTCTTGCCATTATCATCATTTTTAAAAAGATAGGGTCTTACTATTATCACTGGTTGGCCTGATATTCTTTATATATACCACATAGTTTTGCATTTATGACTCCTTGCATATAATCCTCCTGCTTCAGCCTCCACAGAGCTGGGATTTCAGGCATGTGTCATGACACCCACACCCAGCTATTTTTTTCTCTGGACACTATCCTTTTTTTTTTTTTTTTTGTGGTTCTGGGCTTGAGTCCAATGCCTTGTGCATGCTAGGCATGCTAGGCATGCTCTTCACAACAGAGCTACAAATCTCAGCACAGAAATAATACAACTACTTATTTAGCACTTACAGTGCCATGTATTATATCACGTATAATCTGGAGAAGATTTAACGTGTATGGGAAGATATTCGTAGGTTATATACAAAAATAGTATGCCATTTAATATAAGGTGTGGGTTATATAAAAATACTTTGCATTTTTATGTAAGAGACAGTATTTTTTGATATTTATATTCCCACGTGGAAAAATAAGTGCCAACATATGTGTTTTGGTGCTGGGGTTAAAACCCAGTGTCGTGTGCTCTATCCTTAAACCATAACCTCAGCCTTTGTTTTATGGATTCTTTACTGTCCTCAGTGCCTAGAAGTATCTGGCATACAGTAAATGCTCAGTAACAATTGAACAAATCATCAGTGGTGATGTGATTGATTGATAAATGAAGTGTTGAGATAGAGCCTTGAGTAAGGATAGAATAGAAATGTGGCTGGAGAGATAGTTCAGTGGTCAGAAGTGCTCTCCTGCTCATCCAGAGAACTGGAATACAGTTCCCAGCACACACATTACAGCTGACAACCCCTATAACTCCACTTCCAATGGATCTAATGCCCTCTTCTGGACTTTTAGGGCACACACACACACACACACACACACACACACACACACACAAACACACACTTTAAAAAAGGAAAAAAAAGAATGGAATGAAAAGTCAACAAGACCCTCAGGAACTGGCACAGTGATCACTCAGAACAGAGAGACACTGATATTTGGACCACACTCCAGCATTACTCCACAAATAGGTTTGCACTCAAATGCATATGTGCCTGTATATGTGTGCACCCATTGGAGAATGAGAGTGGGTGGCCAGCCTTTGGTCACCTGCTCTGGCTTAAGGCCAGGGGGTACCCAGGCATACTCCTCTGAAGCACAGCCTGAGTCATCATCAGAAATAGAGTGGCGTTGAAAGTCTGAGATGAGCCGGCACATGATGCGTTCTAGGTCCACAGGCACAGCGTGCACCGCATGTTCCTCCCGAGGGCATTTGCAGTGCTGGCAGATCTTTCTGTGAGGGCCAGGATAGGAGTCAATTACTAAGGAGCCATCCACCAAGATCCCTGGGCAGCCCAGGTTCAACCAAAGGGCAGGACATGTAGACTGACACCAAAGGACTCGGAGCTGGGACAGAGCTCTGTGCCTGAGGCCAGGGCTGACAGGAGCTGGGGCTAAGAGCCAAGATCTGATTTTGTTTGTGACCAGGCCACAGGGCACTGGCTGTGCTAGGCTCAGCTTCTGGCTGATGACAGGTCTGGAAAACAGGGGCTTACAGGACTCGGGGTTGGGCTATGATACTCGGTACAGGAGATGGAGGGGTGGGTCTTCAGAGTCTGAAGGACTTCTCCCTAACTGTTCCAGGTCTGGAACTTGGGCTAGATTCTCTGGGCAAAAGGCCTGAGAGGGTCCTGACTCAGGGGCTGAGACTGGTATCATAAATCAAGGGATTTCCTCAGGTGGGAGATTCTGTGCTCTGTAGGATAACTACTCCTGAAGGCAGGTCTCTGGCTTGTGTGTAGGAGGGTTGGGGGTACTACTGTGAGTCTGTGGGATCAAGGTTTCTTAGATTTTGAGTGCAAGGCTCCAAGAGAACACTGGGTCTGGGAGAAAAGTTCTGAGCCTAAGAAAGGGTCTGCGGATTCAGCTAGAAGACAGCTCTAGAGGTAGGATTCAGACTTGGGAGAAGACTTTTTTGGGGAGTCAGGGCTGTGGAACACTCCTGGGAACAGGTCTCTTGGGAATGAGTCAGGGGGCGGGGCCCTGGAAAGGACTTTGAGGCTCCTTTCCCAACTGTGCTCTCTGTGGGCAGAGCTCAAGCCTTGGGGCGGGTCTCTGACAAAGGCTAGGGTCACTTACCTCCAGCCATGCAGCAGGAAGCCTGGGCACTCTTCCCTGCAGGAATTGCAAGGCTGGCCACGAGCAGGGTCCTCTGCCTCTGGAGGCTGTAGTGGGTGGGAGTAGATACAAGGAGAAATAAGGTGCGGGAGTAGGGAGGGAGAAGTCAATGCCTGCTCCTCCACTCCCAGACTCACAACCGCAGGCTGGGGCCTGTCTCACTGGGGGCAGCGCTGGGCAGGCTGAGACCGCGCCTTGAGCACGGGGGAGGAGGAAACAACCAAACCGGAGGCAGGGCAGCGGAGACCACTTTCCTGTATACTCCTTTTCCAGGGAATTCCCCTGTCTGGGCTGGTATGTCCCTCTGTAGTTCTCAGATAGGTCTGTTAGGGAGAGTCTTCTACCTGCCAGAGCAGAATCCCTAATCTGGGCATTCCCTCTCATGTTTCTCTTCAACATCCAGGGCGCCAGCAGCACTCCATTTTCACAGGGTAGGCCTCTGTGAACCCATCTTTCCTTGAGATCCCACATGAACTCTGCCCTTCCCTCAGAAGTTCTGTTGCCCCTCTTCCCAACCCTGCCTCCGTCTCTCCTACCTGAGGAACCGAGGAGTATCTTTAGGACAGCAAAACGTCCCTGTTCCATTCAGAAAGCCTTAGCCCAAGAAATCTTTGCCTTTACCCTTCAGATTTTGGGACTACTCTCTTCTTTGGTCCGCATTCCACCTTTCTTGGTTAGAGATCTTTCAAAGAAACAGAGAAACCCTCCTATCTAGGAAGTCAGCTTCCAGACTCCTATGGAAACCTGGAAATCTTCTGAACCTAAACCTTAGTTCATTGATTCTTGTTACCCATAAGTGAAGGAACCCACCACCACTCTCATTCTACAGTGCCCCAATGTTTCCCCCTTGCTCAATTTCAAATCCCAAGACCTTATTCTCTTCACCTTTAGGATTAATTCACAGGAAAGGGGGCGGCCCCAGACTGCAATGGTGTTAAAAGTGTGAGATGTGTTAGGGATTTGAGCCACCATATCTACACGTTTCTGCATCCGAGAGTGTGCTTCAGTCCCAGTTCCCAACTCTGGGAAAGTTAGGGAAGGGAGTTCCCAGACCCATCTTGGGGTACCTCCCCTCTGTTCCTGGGCCCTGTCCCCTCACCTGGGTCTCAGTTCACCACTGACCCCCACCACTGCCTTGAGCCCTGCTCACCGCACGCCCGGAGCGGCGCCTCCGGGACCCACGCGCGAACATGGCGCGCCTAGACAGAGTCAAGCTCAGCTGGGTCAGGCGGATGGAGTCGGCTGCCACAGCGCGTCGGCCCTGGCAGCTCTCTTCCGTAAACTTGACTCCGGGGTGGGAGGAGCACGCCTCTTAGGGCCCGCCCCCAGCCTGTAGTGTCTAAGTCACCGCAGTGGCCCCTATCTGAAGGTGAATGAGTGCCTTGCTGCAAAACCTGCAGTCCGAGGTTTCTTTCCAGGGCTAGAACCAGAGCAGGGTGTCAGAAGATTGGGCCTTCAGTGTCCCTCGGTGTCACATTCACACAGCCTTGAAAGTTGGAAGTGGGCGGGCTTGAAGTGCAGACATGATGAGAGTGGTACACTAGAGTGCTTATTTGGACGAATACTGTCGATTTAACTTGAAAGCTTTGGGGGGCAGGGGTCAAAGCCACCTCTTGATCCCTTCCCAGATTTTCTTTTCCTGGGATGAATGTTACAAGAATGGTTCCAACTTCATCTTCAGCCCTGGCTGGTGTTCTATGGCTCTCACCGTCCAGCTAGGCCTATTTCATCTTCAGAGACAGAACTGAGGTTTATGTGAAAGAGACAAAACTCTCTGGCCAGGTTCTGGGTAATCCACATCCAGCCATTGTGCACCTTTACTCCCTACACTCTCCCCTCGACCTTAGCCCAAAGAAGTAGGTCTTAGAGCCTTCCTCCCTGTTCACCTATTTTTCTGTCGCCAGGTAGAAGTCTGCGTTTCCTGAGGTCACTTCCAGAGCTGGGTCTCTTTCCTGCTCTAGGTACCTCTGGGCCTCGGAGCTAGGAATCAAGTATCCTCAGAACTCAGGCGCCCAAGAGGAGCCTTTAATTAGGCATGAGGTGGCAATGGTTAGACAGACCTTTAATCTTGGGTGCCCAGGAACTCCTTCTGTTCACCTCAACCCCATTATACAAAACCCTGTTACTTCCTGACCCTTGTCCAGATAAAAGCTGGGGGGGGGGGTGGCACTTATCCATTAGTCAGTCAGTCTCTCTACCTGGTAGGTCTCTGGTTTTTCTGCTGAGGCTGAGGCAAGGGAAAGGAGATAGATCCCACAGGACCTGAAGGGTTCAGAAACAAAGAAACAAGATCTTGTGGAGTCTCTGTAGTTGGAGAGGCCTTGAGGATCTGAGGAGAAAAGCCTTCACTGGGGCCAGGAAGGGTGGTGGCTAAGGGATCAGCGTGAGGACCACACCGTAGGAGGACTCCATGGCTATCGTTGGGATAACAAACAGTTCTAATGAAGAGTGAGACTCAGAATAAGTTGTAGGCAAGGCTTCAGCAGGATGTTGCCAGGGTCTTTAGGGAGACTTTAAGTCTCCCTTTAAGTCTCCTTTTCTTGTTGCCTGCTCTCCTTTCTGCAACCGCCAAAAAAGACAGACTGAGAAATCAGAGACATGTGGACCACTAGATGGTTGAGGAGTTTATTTGGGAGAGGGAAATTTCTCATATTTGTTCTTCCTTGGGGAGGGGGTCTTCAAACAATACCAAAGGGCACAGGAAAGTAGGGGGTCTGGAGGGAAGAGGGAGGGGCCACAGTCAGACAAAATGGCAACACATGATCACAGGCACTACCAATATCACTGACACAGCAGAGGGTACAGGACTGGGGCTCCAGACCCAGCTTCCAAGTATTCTGGGACAACAGGAGTATGGAGGGAGAGGGTAGAGAAAGGGGGAAGACTGTGGGCCAGCCCCACAGACCTGTAGACTCTGTCTTCTGATTATCTAGCTGTCTTCTGGTGGGGGGGGGTGAACAAGGGCCATTTCTCTCTGGATAATACCCGTTATGCTCCAAACTACAATACTTGGCTAATCCTAGGTTACCTCAATTCCCAGGGGCCAGGAGTATTCCTTCCTACTTGTAATAAAACTAATCTCACAGGTCTTAACCATGGACTCCCACCCAGCACTCAGGCCTACTGGTCAAACTACACTAAAATGAAAACATATTTTCTTTTCTGCCCCATAACAGAAAGGGCTTCCTCTTCTGCAACCACCTCACATTCCTCATACTCTTCATATTCCTGTCTGGAATCCTGACCAGGACCTCACCTCTAGCTTAGGTTCATTCCTGAACCCTATTTCTATCCTTGCTCAGGCTCTTTGGAATCAAGCTCAAACTCCTGAATGCTGCAAGACACACCCCTTTTAGAGATGCTGGATTCAACCCAAGCCTGCCCATTCCGGAGTCCACTGTGTTAAAGCCACGCCCCTCCTAGAACCACCCTCCCAGGTCCTATCAAGCCTCATTCCAGAATGCTGTAGACACCACTTTCCTTTTAGGCTGCACATCCAGTATGTCTGGAACTCAACTCTCAGCTGTCTAGTCTTTTCTATCCAGAGCTCCTCTCCTCTCCATCTGTTTTACCTAAGCCTCCACCCAATCTAATGTTCTACTCTTGGGGTTGGATTTCTATTCAAGCTTCTGTTCATGTGATGCTGGAGGAACCAAAGCCAGAGTTGGGAGGAGCAGAAGGAAAGAAGGAAGAGGAAAAGTCACATCGACCCACTCCATGCAGCCAAGGTCTGGTCCCTTTCCTGTTCCCTTTCTAGAGCCCCCTTACCTCAAGGGACAGGGCTGGGGAACAGATAGGGGTTGAAGAATGCAAAGTCAGGGTTAGGGAGGAGCCCATTCAGGACTGGGCTCCTAGTGCATGGAGAAGTTGGGTAAGGGTAAGGCTCAGACAGATAAATATATATATATCTATATATCTATATCTATCTATCTATCTATCTATCTATCTATCTATCTATCTATCTTTCTTTCTTTCTTTCTCTCTCTATATATATACAACAAAGACAGTTAGGGTTTCCTGGGTTGAGAGGTGGAGACCTAGGGGATGGGGATGGAAAGTGGGACAGGCCTTCTGTTGAGCTCTTGCCCACCTGTGGGGTCTTCGTGGGCTTCACTGACCTGTAGAGACAAAAAACACAGAAAGGAGAAGATGTCCAGATGAGGGTGGTGCCCACACAGATGACGGTGGTACCCTCAAGAAGGGACTGGGCCACTGTGCTTTGTTCTTCTCTAAAAGGTCTGGAGTCAGCCTCATCCTAACTGCTCTCTCTAGGAAGATATTACTAACCTGGCTGGAACTGGGTATTAAGGTCCCCTCTCCTAATCAAAAAAGCCCATTAACCAGTACTGCTGGAGTCACTGTTGAAAATCCATGTTGACCCTGGCAGTGATGGAGCATGCCTTTAGTCCCAGAAGAAAGCAGATCTCTGAGTGAGAGGCCAGCCTGTCCTACAGAGTGAGTTCCAGTGCCAGGACAGCCAGAGCCAGAGCTACACAGAGAAACTCTGTCTCAAAAAACCGAAAAAAAAAAATTCATATAAAAGTATCCCTATTTTTATAAGGCTTACATTATATCGGGGGAGACAGGTTTCATTCACTCAATGAATATGACATACTAGTGAATTATCTAATATAAGATGATAACAGGCCAAGCATGATGGCACATGCCTTTAATCCCAGCACTCAGGAGGCAGTAGTGGGTGGATAATCTGTGAGTTTGAAGCCAGTCTGATTGACACAGTGATTTCCAAGACAACCAGGGCTATGTAGTGAGACCCTGTCACCAAAACCAAAAAAACTCTAAGTGAGGCTGCTCTTCTGGAGGACCCACATTTGGCTCCCAAAACCTACACTGAGTGAGTCACAACCATCTGTAACTTTAGCACCATCTCCTGGTGCTAAAGTTTAGCACTTTAGCACTTTCTCCTGGTCTCCATGGTCATTTGAACTCACAGGCACCTACCTATTCATAATTAAATACAAATAGAATCTTTTAGAAAAGCACCCTAAGTGTGTGTGTATAGCATAAATAAGTCTTAGTTATACCTGCAATCTAGTGGCACATGGTCATAAACTAGTAATTAAAAATTGTGTTAAGGAAAAACATAGGTTATCATGAGAGAGGTAACAAAGGGTATTTTTTTTTTTACACCAATAATCACTGATACAGGATTTAGAATTTAGGATCCCAGAATTTAGGAGGCAGAGGCAGGAGGGAAACAAATTTGACACCATCTTGGATTACATAATGGGACCCCAACTGAAAGAAGCAAACCAGGGAGGCAGAGGCACAACAGGAATTCAAGATTATCCTTAGCTACATAATGAGCTCCAGGCCCGCCTTGGCTACAGGAGACCTTGTCTCAAAAAATAATAGTGACAACACAGCAACAACAAAGTCAGGTGTGGTGGTGCAGGACTATAAATCCCAGCCACGTGGGAGATGGAGACAGGAATATTGCAAATTCAAAGCCAGCCTGGGCTACAGAATGAGTTCCAATTAATCTGGGCAATTTAGTAAAAATGTCTCAAAATGAAAAGGGAAAAGGGCCCGGTTATATATCTCAGTGGTAGAACACTTGCTTAGCATTCAGGAGACCTGAACTTGTAATTAAAAAAAAAAACTCCCCCGATAAACAAACAAACAACAAAAACAAAGACTTCATTGAGCCAGTGGCCAAAATGGCTAGGTAAAGAAGTGTATGTGTAAAACTTTAGGGGGAAGCAAGATCAAAGGCCCTGAGGTAGAACTGGTCCTGGCACAGTTCTAGTAGGTGAAGGTCACAGTAAATATCTGTGGGGGAGTGCTGCCTATGTAGGCCTGTGACCACATACAACTGACTTCCAAGTACAGGACAGTGATTGCTGAATTTAGGACAGTCGCCTAGCAGAATCCTTGTGGTTGCTGGGGAGTAAAACATGCTGTAAACGGGACAGATGAGGCACTAGTGAAGAGGTTAAGGAAGATCATTGTGAAAAATGGAAAGGTTGGATATATTTTGAAAATTGGAAACAACAGGACATATTTTTTTTTTTTTTGAGACAGCGTCTCACTGTGTGGTCAAGCAGCCTAGAAATTGCTTTGTAAATCAGGCTGAGCTTGAGCTCAAAGGTCTCTGCCTCCCCAGGTGCTGAGATTAAAGGCTTGTGCCATCACCGCCTGGTCAAAAATTTTTTAATTAATTAAATGTGGGATGTTTTATGAGACTCGCGATCTTGGCTCAGTCACTACCAAACCCACCTAGGTATTGCTATCTTCTCTCTTTTTAAGATAGTATCGGGCTATATAGACTAAACAGGACTCGAGATCTTGCAATCCCTATGCCTGTGCCTCTCAAGTGCTGGGATTCTATGTGCTCCATCATGCCAGGCATTCTTTTTTGTTTGTTTTTGGAGACCGGGTTTCTCTGTGTAGCCTTCGCTGTCTTGAAGCATATTTTTAATGGCCCAAGGAGAAGGCGTATGCGTGTTTCCAAGGCCTCTGACCCTCTCCTTTTCCTCATTTGAAATTCCAAACCGTCTCTTTCACTACAAGGGTTACGGAGAGGTAGCAGCAGATCCACAACCTTGCTCTTGCGCTGGCGTCCTTCAAAACCCAGTGTTTACTTTCCCCAGTCTACTGGCGTTATCTCCGGTTGGTACACCAATCATTTCGAAGACCCACCTTCCTGAAAACCTACACTTCGGTGGCTATCCACTGCGCAAGTGCCCCTACACGCCTTTCATTGGTTACTCTGAGCGCTGCTCTTTCCTCTTCCTTCTTCTTCTCTCCTCTCATTGGCTAATTTTTCCGCATTTTTTTTGTAGTTCTGCCTGTCTATTGGTTTCTTCAAACTTCACTTCTTATACCCTCCCTGCCGCATCTGCCCATCTATCACTCACCAGATTACATCTGATTGGAGAAGGAGGTGGGCGCGCCCTGTGGGCCGTAGCCTTGCTGCCCATAGTCGCCCTGAGGCCCGTAGCCACCGCCACTGCCACCGGCTGGCTGCCCGTAGTCGGGCTGGTAACCACCCTGAGGCCCGTAGGAGTCCTGGGGCCCATATCCTCCGGGACCCTGGCCGTAGCCCGCATCGCCGTAGGCATCCCCAGGTGCTGGTTGCTTTTCCGGGGCACCTGGAGGTGCGCGCATGAACGGGGCGGCCCAGCCTGTCTCTTTGAACACGAACCATAGGTTGCCAACCCAGAGCACCAGGTTGAGGAAGCCGAACACCTGCAGGGAGACAAGACCAAAGTTGTTGTTTCTCACCCATTGCCTTGGCAGTCCCAGGGACTTTGAGGCTGAGTGAACAGGAATGGCATTTTTTAGGGCATAAATTCTGTGACTATCAGTGTATAGAAGAATTTGGGATTGGGGCGTTTGTTAGGATTCAGATTCCCGGGAACTTCTATCAGTGTTTACGGGTACAACTATTTGTTGAGCCCAGTGGCCCCCATGTGTAATCCTAGGGAGTTGGAGGCAGGGTGATGATTTTTTTTTTTTTTTGAGACAGGGTTTCTCTGTGGAACTCACTCCGTAGACCTGGCTGACCTGGAGCTCAGAGAGATCCACTTGTCTGTGTCTCCTAAGTGCTGCGGTTAAAGGGGTGTGCCACCACCGCTCAGCAATCCAAGACTAGCTTCAGGACTGATATATTTTGTATATATTTCAAAATATAGTAAATTTAAATTTGTAAAATATGGGGTGGGGGGCTGGAGAGATGGCTCAGAGGTTAACACTGGCTGTTCTTCCAAAGGTCCTGAGCTCAATTCCCAGCAAGCACATGGTGGCTCACAACCGTCTATAATGAGAGCTGGTGTACACGTACACATGTAGATAGACTGCTTTGTATAATCAATCGAAAACGCTTTAAAATTTGTAAAATATGCAAGTATATATTTTAAAGAAATAGACATCACTAATTGATGCATATATAAATGTATGTATATACAAATTAACATATAAATGCATATGTATAAAACAGAAATGTACATGTATAAAAATATATTTGTTTTTTGAGATGGGGTCTCTTTATGTAGTCATGGCTGTCCTGGAACTCGTTCTGTAGACCAGGCTGGCCTTGCACTCAAGTGCCTTTTTTGTGGTTGTTTAGATGGGGTTTTCACTATGTAGATCAGGGTGGCCTCTGCCTTCCAAGTGATAGGTTTAAAGGGTTCCAGGAATAGAATTCCTATCCTCAGGAAGAACAATATGTGCTCTTAACCACTGCGTCATTCCTCTAGCCCCTCTTTTCTTTACTTTTTAACAAATACTCTTGGATTTATTTTTATTAAATTCATTTATTTAGAGTATGTGTGTGTGTTTAAGATAGGGTCTTATTCTGCAGCTTGACTGTCCTGGCACTCTTTATGTAGATCAGTCTGGCCTCAAACTCACAGAGATCACCTGCTTCTGTTCCCAAATGCTGGGACTGAAAGTATGTGCTATCATGCCTACCAAAGTATATGCTATTAAATAAAAATAATTTAAAATTTAAAAATAAATATATGAAACTGACATAAAATATTTAAAAACAAAATGCTATATGCCATTTACTGTATGTTACACCCTCTTCTGAGCACCTTTATTAGTTTACTTAAATTTCCAGGTTTGAGCTAGGCAGTGGTAGTGCACGCCTTTAATCCCAGTACTCAGGAGGCAGAGGCAGACGGATCTCTGTGAATTCAAGGCCAGTGTGGTCCACAGAGTGAGTTCCAGGACAGCCATGGCTATACAGGAAACCCTGTCTCAAAAAAAGAAAGCAAATAAACAAAAAAATTTCCATGTTAAGACAGGAAGTACACCTACATTTTATTTTATCCTTTTTTTTTTTTTGAGACAGTCTTGAAATGTTGCCCAGGCTGGCCCAGAACTCCTGGCCTCAAATGCTGAATTTTGTCTCTCCACTTGCAGAGTAGCAGAGACTACAGACAGGCACAACTCCATCTGGTTGATATCCCCATTCTGATTACTTTTAGCACATGTAGTTTATTCTTATGATTCTGAGACAAGGTCTCGTTTTGTACCCTAGGCTGTCCTGCAACTCACTATATAACCCAAGATGGCCTCAAACTTTTAACAGTCTTCCTTCCTCAGCCTCCCAAGTGCTAGAATTACAGGTATGTGCCACCACACATGGCCTGATTTCTGTCCATTTTATTTTATTTTTAAAGACCTTTAAGTTTCATTCTATGTGTGTAAAGTGTTTTGTCTACATGTGTTCATGTGTATCACCTGCATGCTTGGTCCTCAAGATGATAAGAAAAGGGCATAAGTCTCTTGCAAGTAGAATTATGGAGGATTCTGAGCCAATGTGTAGGTGCTAGGAATTGAACCTAGATCCTCTGCAAGAGCAGCAAGTGTTGCTCTCCTCAATCCCCCTCCTTCCTTGCATCCCAAACAGTGTCCTGGAACTAGCTCTATAGACCAGGCTGGCCTACAACTCAGAGATCTGCCTGCCTCTGCCTCCCTAGTGCTGAGACTAAAGGTATGCACCACCACTGCCTGGATGAACAGCAAGTGCTCTTAACTCTTAATTGAGTCATTTCTCCAGCCCTTGTTATATCCATTTTAAAGCTAAGTTCAGAGAGGCTAAATTACCCAAGATAGCACAATCAGCAAGTGGCAGGAAAGAAGAGTTCAAATCTTAGCATCTGAAACAGTAATATAGGAAGCAATCTTGTGTTAGGATCTTTCCAAAGCGCTATGTGTGTTGTGAATTCAGTGAATACTCAAGTTTGGAGCAGGACCTATCATTAGCTGTCAATTTACATACTCAAAATGATCCTTGAGAGGCTTGTCACTAGCTGAAGGTCACAGAGCTTGCCAAGTGACAGCATCTATGTTCAGACTGATTCTAGCCAGTAGGGGGCATCCAAGTAGGAAAACATTTCAAGATAGTCTTTTTCTTTTGCACTTAAGGAAATAAATCCTGAAAGGATACTGAGTTTCAGGAGATTTGACATGACTGGGCTGGGTCTAGTTGTCCCAGCTTAATCTGAAAGGCCTCGTGTTCCCCGTTTGGGGATAGGCAGTATGTGGTATCTCTGCGGTTAGAACTGTTCAACCTTCTTTGGTTGGCATGCCTCCTCCAGGGAGCCCCCATGGACCTCCTGACATTCCTCTCATTTCCTGTCTCCACCACTTCCCATGCCAGACTGTGTCTCCCAGCTTTCCTCTTCCAGCCCAGCCAGCTTCCCAGGGCTTACCACTGAGGTGTTGAGTCCTGAAGTCACAGGGTCCCTTAGTTCCTTGCATGTGTTCCCTGTCTGGCGGCACATAGTCATCTGCTTGATAATGTTCTCTGGGTCTGTGGCCATCTTCACATCCGACAGGCCTTTGGCCCAGGCAGATGAGCTAACTAGCCACATGAAGGCGAACACTGCTGTGGCCAGAAAGTCCTAGGCAGGAGTGAGGAAGATGCCACCGTGAATGGGCTGCTTCATGCTGAGCCCTGAGCCCCTTCAGGTCAACAAGCTTTTGTGGGAGGGTTCCTCTAGAAGAGGTCTTCCTCTTTTCTGCCTTTGCAGCTCTGAGGCTCACACTATTTTCACCTGAAGGCCTCAGCTTGAGCTTCCATGAGTGTATATGATACAGAGGATGTGGGGGTGTGCTAGTGATATGTGGGTGTGGATGTTGAGGGGGGAAATAATTCTGTGGGATGTTTCTGAATCTGTGAGAAGTGTGTTTTACCACTTTTATTTGCATGTGGGAATATGTGTCATTTTATGTCTGGGATGAGGGTGTGAGAATCTCTGTGTAGGAATCAGTGCCTGTGTGTGGCAGGGTGACATACATGACTGCACAGTGAACTTCAATACTCCTTCCTTTGATCTAGTCTGTGAGGGTGTGTGGGGTCTCTTGATGGTAGGGTCAGGTTGTGGGCCAGTCTAGCATTCTGTGTGGGCTCTGAGTATGCCCCCATGATTCTGTGACTTCACAAGCCAGATGTTCAATGTGAACTCATGGAGACAGTTGCAGCAATAGCAGTGTTGGGCTGCTTGGCTATGGGCCTGTGGACTTTGGCCTGTGAACCAAATGAGCTGGGTCCCTGTGGACTCATGTCCTTGGTCACTGCATGCAATCAGCTGTGGCGACTCACCATCATAGGCCCTTTGTTGTTCTCTCGGTACTTGTTCTGCAGAAAAATGTAGGTGGCCAGGGCTCCCATGGTGTAGAGGAAGGCAAACACAGCCACGGTGACAAAGAATTCAGCTGACGAGGAGTAGTCCCCAACTAGGAAGACCTTGGTGGTACCCCCTTTGCAGGTGGGCGCATCAAAGTATACTTGGTGCAGCCTGCAGAGAGAGGTGTGTGGGTGTGGCCCAGACTCTAAGAATCCCTTTCTCACCTTCCCAGCCAAGTATATCCCAGGTTGTTTTGAGGTCCCAGGAAGAGGAGGAAAAGAACCATCCACAGAGCACTTGCAATGTACCACTGGTGGCTGAAGCATCTTGGTAAGATATGTGGTACCCCTCGCTCACTGCAGCCCAGGTGAGCTCCTGCCTCTGAGTTCATCCTAGAATGTGGCAGGTATCTTTCTACCCTAGAGCTTTTGCACTGCCTAATGTCTTTAACAGAAATGCTCTCCCCTCATTGTTTCTCAGCCTCTTGGCTAAGATCATTTTAGGAATGCTCTTCCTTAAGATAGCTTCATGTATTATTTTCCCAGCCCCCTCACACTGCTTAACTATCCCCTTCTCATTAAAGACTTCCTGCATTTCAGTTTAAAAGCATTTTTTGGTACTGATGAATAAAAATCAGACTTTGTCTGTGTGTGTGTGTGTGTGTGTGTGTGCAGGTCCACATTTGTTGATGTATATGCATTTTCACAAACTTGTGACAGAGTTTAACCTCATGTTTTGTTCCTCAGGTGCCATTCCCCTGCCCTTTTTGAAACAGGGTCTCTCTCTAGCTTGGAACTTGGCAATTACCCTAAGCTGGCTGGCCAGGGAGTACCAGGGAGTCCAACATGAGCCACTATGCTGGGCTTTTGGGCTTTGTTTAATGTAGGTTCTGAGCTCCAAGCTCAAGTCCTCACACCTGTAAGGCAAGTACCTTACTGACAGAGCTATCTCCCAGACCTAGGTTTTTTGTTTTTTGTTTTTTTTTTTTTTCTTTATCTATTAAGAGGCAGGGCTTATTCCTTGTTTTCATTTACTAACAGATCCCAAGGGTCTGGAACAGTGCTGCCACTTATTAGCTTTGCAAGCAGTGTTTTTGGGGTGAAATACACAGAGGATGGGAACAGGTTCAGAGAAGTGCATTTGTTTGTGTGAAGTCATGCGGCTAGTACAGGAAGGACAGAACTTCTGTATGAATCCTGTCTCCCCCTAAGTCATGTTGACTGCTACCCTGTGCTGTGGTGGTGGTGGTGGGGCGCTCATTGGTTGGCAGAATGAAACTGGACTAGGGGCCCATAGCTCAGCCCTCAGGTTGGAGACAGGCTCCTTGGACTGAGCAAATATAATTGGTGTCCTTGTATAGCAGAAGGTCCTGAGCATGGGAGGTGCTGGGGCGGGTGGTACTGCTTTATGGAGAGCTTTTGTGACCTTGTGAATTCTCAAAAGGCTGGTTCTCATGCTGCCAATTACCCTTCACCCCTGTCCCCACTGTGTGTGTGTCTGTGTGAATGACTCTTTCTCCTCCAAGGTACTGGGGATGGAACCCAGGGAATTCGGGACAAATGCTTTGCCACTGAGCTACACCCTCAGCCTCCAAACTTTTTCTTCCTGGCTTGTGTAAACCAGGATACTCATCGCTGCTCTCTCTCAGGGCATGCTCCTCTACCATCTCCCATTGCTATTATTGCTCAGAGTCTGAGCTGGCTTCCCTCTTCCTACTATGTGACGTCTTGTGACTCCTTTTACCCTTGATCTTTCCCAACTCCTAGGTTCCAACGCTTCTCCAAGTTCCTAAATCTGAATTCTTATACTTCACAAGCTTCTGAAGAGCACTTCTTGTGTCTCAGACACTGCACTGAGGGCTTCACAAGTATAGACATGGTGAAGATGTCCCATCATCTGTGGGACATCAGTATTTTCTCTGTTTACAGATAAGAAAGTTAAGACTGTAATCCGATTTAGTTCAGTAGTCAAGGAAAGTCAAGGGAAACTGTGAGTCTGTCTCCCAATCCTTTAGAGAGAGTAGCTCTTCCAGCTTGTTCTTAGTCATGTACATCTAGTACATAGCATATAGTACCTGGTGGGGACTCAGTATATATCAGGAATGTCTAATTTGGTCCCATGATTTCCTACATCTCTACAGTACCCTCATTCTTCTCTGGCAAAGTTCTTGCATGAGGATATGCTTCTAGTATTTCTGTCCATCTGCAGTTATCCCCATTTGTTTGTTCTAATATAGATCTATGAGGACAGGGAGCTTTCTCTGCTTTGGTCACTATTAAACTCCAGCACTTTGAGAAGTAAATAAGGTTCACTAACACTACTTTAGGACACTTTTTAAAATGGCATTTTATGTATTTAGTGTGTGGATGCCTGTGTGTGTAGGTGCATGTGTGCCATAGCTCGTGTGTGGAGGTCAGGGAACAGTTTGCAGAGAGTCTGTTCTTTCTGCCACATGTGACGTAGGGATCAAACTCAGGTTGCTAGGCTCAGTGACAAGTGCTTTTATCTGCTTAGCACCCCCTTATTTTGAGATACTATCTCACTTTGTATCCATGGGGAGCCTGGAACTCATCACATTTTTTTCTGGCATAGCCTCCCAAGTGCTGGAATTACAAGCATTTAACATCATACCCAGCAACTAACAATAACTGAGCATTTACTGCATTAAGGTCTACACACATGTAGTGCTCACTCAGGCATGCATGCTCTCTCCCTCTTTCTGGAACCCAGGGCCTTGTCAATGCTACACAAGCTTTCTGCCACTGACTATAGCCCAGCCCTGTCATTTACTTATGAATCTTCTTATTTCCTCTTTATTGCTCCCCTTTATAGCCAGAGAGGATGCCACCCTGTGTCTGTCTTGCACACCACAATACCATAGATAGCTAGAACAGTGGCAGTTATACAGCAAGTGTTCAGTGCATGGGCAGTGATCCCCGTGGCTGTGGTCTTTGGTGTGAGCTGTGCAAAGGTCATTGAAAAGGACTGCCCAGACCCACCCTGCCCATGCCTCTTCCGGGTCTCAGGATACCAGGGCAGGGGCACACCTGAAGGGGTACTCAAATTCAACTTCGATGTTGAGGGCACTCTCCGTCTTGTTGGCACACTCCACGCTCAGCCGAAGCTCTCCGTTGTAGCTGCCGCATGTAGCAAAGGCGAAGATGGCAAAGACCTTGGGTAGCAGGGAGGTGGATGGCTGTGGTGAGCCTGTCTGCATGTGGGAGGGAGTGCCCTCCTCTGGACAGATTGAGGTGGGGGGGACAGCACAGACAGTAGCAGATGGAGAGGTCCCCACCCCCACCCCCCTAATCATGGCTCATCGGGTCCTAGCACAAGCTGATTACAGGGGTGTGGCTGCTTCTCTTTCCCTGTGTCTCTCTGTTTTCACCTCTAGGTGCTCTGGCTGCTCCTTTCCCATTCCCCTTTCCTCGCCTCCCCTCTCCTCCTCTTTCCTTTCTTCCATCTTCTTTTTCTCTCCTCTCCTCTTCCTTCTTCTCACTCTCACTGTATCTCTATCTCTCAGTATCTCTGTGATTTTATGCATTGCATGCTCTCCCTCCTTTCCCCCATTAATCATCTTTTTTTTTTTTTTTTTTTTTACTCCCTGTGTGACTGTATGTCTCTGCATGCCTGTTTCTTGGTCCGCCTATTTCCTCTGCTCTGTCTCTCTCACGATCTCCATGGTTCCTCTGTCTCCCTTGTGCCTATTTTTGTATGTTGCTTTCTGTTTTCTCTTTTGAGTGCCTCTATATCTGTGTGTGCCTCTTTCTCTCCCCTACCACATTTTCCAGTTTTAGGAACAGTTCTCTGGGTCTCATCTCTTTCTTGGCATTTCCATCACTCCCATTCCCTGTTCTCATTCTAGGTCTCCTTCAATGTCTCTGGATTTTTCTGGTTTTGCATCTCTCTCTCTCAGCAGTTCGCTTCAGGCTCCACCTCCCATCCCTCCCTCCTTTAGTTCAAGAGAGGAGGTAGGATGTCACAATCTGTCACTCCACAACAGGGGTACCCTCGGCCTTATGTGACGTCATAACCTGTCTGTTCCCTATACTTAAACCCCTGGGGACCTTACTCTGGAGCCCAATTCCCTCATCTCCCATTCTTGTCATCCCACTCCTTCCAGTCCTGTAGGACTGCTCTTCTGCACCCCATTACTACTCTCTCTCCTTGCACTCCACAACCCCACAACCGGGAGCACACTCACCCACTGCAGCACTTTCACGAAGCCAAGGGGCTCCTTGACCACCCGGAACTGACCCCCAGCCACCAGCTGAGGAGAAAAAAATTGGGGAGGGGGTAGGGTTGTGGGGAATAAAGATGGAGGTGAGGGGCCAGGCTGCCAGGCAATGATCCCTGGGGATAGGGTATGTGACCCTCTGGGAGTGGGTGACATATGGAGAAGGAGCGTGGAGGAGAAAATGACACTTTGGGGAAGGAGGAAACATCAGGATCTCAGAAAACCCCCTAGGGTTCAGGAGTGGTGAATTGTGAGGTGATGAGTCACATGGAAGAGGAGGTTGGGTGTAGAAAATAGATGGGGTCCAGACTAGTTAGGGAAACAAGGTCTGAACTGGTGAATCAGATAGGGGAAAAGGTTGAGTGGAAGAAGATGGGGTTCATTGGAGTGGGGGAGGGGACATTGGATGATGAAGGTGAGTCACAACAGCATAGGGGAGAGGTCTGCATTGGTAAAGGTGAGTCAGATGATGGTGGTTGTGTCTGAGGAGATGGGGAGGGGTCGCTACTCATTAGGAGGAAGCCGATTCTGAGGTGATGAAGAGGGAGATGGCGGAGATGGTTTCTAAGGTGGGAGGGTTGCTGGGGCATGGATTTACTGGGTATGCGGTGGGAATGAGGAGGCTGGGGGTTTTGGAGAGGCAAAATCGGATAGTCCCCCTAGATCTGCTCCGGGGGGCAAAGGGTGGTCATCTTCTAGGGTGCATTCTCTTTGGGAGAGGCGGGTGCCAGCCCTCCCCCACCCCGCTCCTACACCTTCTGTCGCTCTATTTCCTAGCTCATCTGCAGCCCCTCGAGTCTTCTTTTCATTTTCCCCTTCCCTCCCGTACCCCTTTGCCATCTTCCAAGACCTGAGCTCCCCTTTCTCCCCTCCAGGTAGGTTGACAGCTCTTATGGGGCTTCTGGTGGTCCCCTCTGCCGCACTGAGGACAGCCTTCGCTGCGGCAAAGAGCGCAGTCCATTTCTCCATCTCCCTTCCCAATCTCTCCTGCTGAAGACCCCCGGCCCCAGCCCCAGCCCCAGCCCCAGCGACCGTATCTCAGCTACCCTGGCCACCACCTTTCAGGGTTGGAGGGCCAAAGCCACCCATGTTCCGGCAAGCGCCGGGCTCTGTCTACGGTGCTGGAGCACGTACCTGATTCACCACGTCCATGTCTGCCAGTAGCAGCATCAGCAATGCAGGGGGCGGAAGGTGCCTGTTAGCAAGGGCGGGCGCGGGGCGCGGCGGGGGCGGCGCGCGATCGTTGGAACAGCCCAGTCGGTGGCAGCCCGCCCCTCGCACTCTGTCTCTCTTTTCAGCGAGCGCCTGCGCAACACGGCCCCTCCTTCCCCCAGTTTGCCTGCAGCCATTCCATCCTGGAGGCTGAAGGCTGTGGATCTCACAGTGTAGGGTCCTTACATAGGTAGGTAGGTCCTTACATAGGGTCCTACATAGGGAGCTCTGGGAATAGGAGGACCTCTCAGTTCTATGGTATGACATTTTGCCAAGCCTACTTCTGTGTTTTTTAAAGTGTGTGCACTCATTTAATCCCTATGTAGCAATGACTATTAGTCCTGTTTTTACAGATGAGAAAAATGAGTCTCCAGAGAGATTAAGTGACTTGCACAAGGTCACACAGCTAGTAATCGGTAGTGTTCAGAGTCTCTGCACTTAAATGTCTCCACAGTTTAAAGACAGTTCAAGGTCCAGAGGGTTCCTTTTGGAAAATCTGCATTTTATGCACGTCCCCAAACAATAACCATCTCCTCAGTTTCTCTTTTTTTTGGTCAAAATTATTGCATACAATATACTTACCATCTGTTTATCCTTGTCCCTCTTTTTAAAAACACCTATTTTGTGTTATCTCTCTTTCTTTTAAAAATACATTTATTTAGTATGGAGAGAGGGAGGGAGGGAAGGGGGAGCACTGCAGCACAGGTGTGGAGATGAGAGGACAGCTTGCCAGAGTGGGTTCATTCTTTTCACTGTGTGGGTCTTGCCATCTCTTAATAGACTACCTTCTTTCACGATACTAAAACTAGGCCCATCAAGGTCAGTGATGATTGCCCCATTACAAAATCCAAGAGATAAAATATAGTTGAGGTTAATAAGATGGTCAACCTCATACTAAGAAACACACATGAAAAATCACTAAGATACTAAATACTAACCTATGATGGAGGTACATCATCTTACACAGGTAATAAAAAAAAATGAGTAACTGTCAGCAGAGGAAAGAACACCATTTTATACTCCTCTATTGCTTGAATCTGGAAACATTTGAATGGATAATATTTATTCATTTATTTGTTTATTTATTTTTAAGATAGGATTTCATATAGCCCAAGGTTGGCCTCGACCTTCATGTGTAGCTGAGGTTGACCTTAAGTTCCTTATCCTCTTTCTTCCACTTCCCAGATGGTGGAATTTTAGGCATGAGCCCTCATGTTAGCTTTGGCTATTATTTTTTTCGGAGACAAGGTTTCTCTATGTAACCCTGGCTGTCCTGGAACTCACTCTGTAGATCAGGCTGGCCTTGAAGTAATAGAGATCTGCCTGCCTCTGCTTCCGAGAATGCTGGGATTAAAGGTGTGTGCTACCACTGTCCAGCTAGCTCTGATTTTTATGCATTTTTTTCTTTTTTTACATTTAATTATTTACTATGTGTATGTGTGGGTGAAAATGCAGAAGTCAGGAGACAGCTTGTGAGACTCAGTTCTTTCCTCTGTGTGGGACCTGGGAATCCAACTCAGGTCTTAAGGCTTGGCAATCACTTTTATCTTCTGAGCTATCTCTCTAGCCCTTATATTTAATTAATTCATTTTTTGAGACAGCATCTCCTCTGTGTAGCCCTGGATGTCCTGGAACTCAGTCTGTAGACCAGGCTGGCCTCAAACTCACAGATACCTGCCTGCCTCTGCCTTCTGAATGCTGGGATTAAAGGTCTATGCCACCGCTGCCTGGCCCCTATATTTATTTTTAAAATATAAGAATATAATAGATACTTCCCAGTTGTTTCAGTTTTTGCTCTCAGTTGTTTGAATCTCACTTCTAAAGTTTAGTCCTGTTTTATCTTGGACATGTAAAATGTTTTAAAATGTTATATGCCTGGGTATACTGATTTAAAAAGGATAATCAGCTATAATGCATTTAGCACAGGGATCAAGACATGTTCATTTTACTATCTTGGAAGCCTTTGACTTCTTAAGATTTTCTTTGTTACCTTCCCTGGCTAAGGTAACCATCATTTCTGTCAGTTTTAGCATCTCCAGTGTCTTCCCCTGTAGTCTGTTCTCAGCATACCAGCAAAACATCTATTTAAGATGTGTAGTTAACTATGCCACTACCTTACTTAATTATTTCTTATGGTTCCCCATGCCTTTAGGTATAAAAACTAGACATTTTAGAGCCTGCTATTCAAAACTGCATGATCTGTCGTCCTTCAACCTTAGTTCTCACTTGTCTGTTCATTCTCTCTGCTTTCCTCCTTACTTTATTTTTCATTAGACATCAGCTTAACTAACCTAAGCCATTGTTTCAAGGCCCAGTGTGATTGAATGTTTAGAGTACCAGTCTTTGATTGTGGCTCCCCTCAAATTTTCTGTCTTGTTTGACCCAAAAGATATAAATAAGAACCTTCTAATTCAAGAGTGAAGTGAGACGGTCCTCAGTGGTGGTCCCATTTGGTATCATTCATTATGCTACCTTCAGTTCCTTTGGAGTAGAGCTGACTCCCACTTTAGATAAATCTTGTCATTTGTCTAAGCCACCTTAGTTTGCCCTGAGGGAATCCAGCACACACTAAAGGCTTGATAAGCTTTCCCTGAATGAATGAAACCCCAAAGGCAGAGCAAGGAGCAGAAAGAGGAGCTCAGGCATCTGTGTGGGAAGAGAGTGACTCCCTGGTGGTTCAGGAGGATCAAGGGGTGGCTTAGAATGGGTTCCATGGAGCTAGAAGCACCTCTGTTTGCCATCAACTAAATTTTCTTCCAATGCATTTAGACTTTTCATCTCTTTCTCAGGCAGAAGGTCAGAAATGGGAGACATTTATGATACTATTTTAACATCCCTGAAATTCTTGATGCTGTGAGGAAACAGGTCTGCTTAAGCCACCAGTTCAGTTCCAACCTTTGCCCTGTCAAGACTCTACAGTCTGCCTTTCTTCAGACTGACCTGGTTGACCCTTTGTGACATCTCTGCCTTCCCTTACTATCCAGACACCCAGTATCTCCTCTCTTCCCTTCCTCCTATCTGCCCAATGCCCTCCTTCTCCCCTCCCCACCTCCACTCTGTCTCCAGCTTTTTTTGGCTGCTGTCTCTTTTTCCTCCTCCTCCCTCCTTCCCTGACGCTGAATAATCAGACCTAGCTGTCCTGGTTTCTGGAAATACTCATGTGTGGGCAGTGGCTCAGGGATGCAATAAGGGATGGATAGAAACTGTTGGGCTGCCCCAGACTACCAGTGCAAAGACACTAAAATCCAGCAGTGTGCCCTCCGAGGGAAGGAAGGGCAGGGAGTTTATTGAATAGTGGGCAGTGGGTAAGAATTTAGAGGGCATGGACACAGGCCATCTCATCTCCCAGGTCCTCTTCATCAAAGTGGGAGAGAATAGACTCCTCATCACTGTAAAGGGAGGTGGTCCTCTGTGCCAGCAGGTCACTGGCAGCACTGTCCATCTCGTCCAGCGTCAGGTGACATGCATCTGCAATCTCTTGCTTGGCCAGGGCCACAAATCGTGGGTCTTGGGCAAAAAGGCCTAGGCCTTCAGAGATGAGCACCTGCAGGCAGTTGGGGTGGGGAGTCCAAGTGGGATTAGTATTGATCAATGGCACAATGTGCACAGAGTGGTCTCTGTGAATAAATGATGTGCATACAGCATGAAGGGACAGAGTCAAGTACAGTATGCCAAGAAGAGAAATTTCTACAAGCTCAACATAGAGTCTGGCCACAACTTGACCCCCTTTCCCAGTGCCCACCTCTGCCCTTTCTCCCACACCCATCTGGACTCACAGCCTCCACCAAACTGTCAGCACTTCCTCTCTTGCCGTGGCTGGGATCCAATGGAGCTCCAGGTACTTGCAGACAGGTGAAGGTACGCAGTGGCCCACTGACCTTGCCAAGGTATCCCCCACCCACTGTAGCTTCCTCCACCAACAACAGTGGGGCATATAGCAGTCGACTCTTCTGAGGAGGAGCTGCCCAGGAGCCCTGGGTCAAAATAAACAAACACCAGAGGAGCAAAGGATTGGCGAGGATGAGGGTCTACATTTCACTCTTGTGAGTCCTGCCCTGCTCTATATACACAGCCAGAGTGACACTGAATGGGTGTAAATCGAAGGAGAATTAGATGACTCCTTTTTTTTGGAGCTCAAACGCAGAGTCATAAACATGGTAAGCTAATGCTCCATGATTGAGCTACACCCACAGCTCCAGACTTGAATGTATGCCAAAGTACAGAAAGCCTCTGTTTGCATGCATTATGTGCTATCTGTCTGTCTGTCCATCAACCCTCCAACCCACCCACCCATCCTTCCATCCATATCTATCTATCTATCTATCTATCTATCTATCTATCTATCTATCTATCTATCTATCTA